AAAATTCTGTGCTGCATACTGATACTTTTTCTCTTAGAGCACTTTTGAAACCTTTTTTGCTTTAGGATAGTCTTAAAAATACCATCTCATAAAATAAAATAACTGTCTGGAATTCCTTGAAGCTCATGGTTTGGCTTCTGAAGTTTTTAAACAAATAGACTGTCAGAAATCAGTGTGGATTCATTTCTAGGATTAATGCTTCATTCGCAATAGATTCTTCACAAGATCAATACCCTGAAATATCAGAAGATTAAAGATGTATCAGATACCAAAACCACCAAACATTGTTTTAATTACTCAAATAGAAGAAAGCTGGATAATTTTTACTTGCCTATGAAGAATGTTCTGCTTAAGCCAAAACAAATTCTTTACCAGTTCTTTTAGAAAGTCTGGAAGTATTTAAGTTTCTCTGCTCTGCTTATGAGACAATGCCTGTTAGTGAGCCAGTGCTACATTCTGTAAAGCTCTTCATCAGCAACAACCTGTCCTTCAGCTGGTCAGTAAGCTAATTAAGTCTGTTTGCTAATTGTTTCAGTCATACAGTTTATTGAGTTTGAGGTTTCTTACACGCCTATAGGAAAAAAAGGAAGCACCAATCCAAGGTCTGTGCCTGTTGAATAGTTTACAGAAAGTTGAACAGTGTATCCATTCACTTCTGCTATTGTGGTATGTGAAATGCAGTCGTTTGAGCTGAATCCCAGAGTCATTAGCTATTAACTCAGGCACAGCACCTATCGATTTCAATCCTAGTTAATCATGTGGCACTCCTTTATTTATGCCTGTATTGTGGTTTTAACTAACAGCTCGTGACAGGGATTTGCAGAGGGGTCACGCAGGAGTGGGAGTCCCAGGAAATGTTTGTGGTCCTTTGGCCAGAATCCGCTGTGCTTGCCCTGAGACTAATTGCCAGACCGGGCTCTGCTCTGCGCTTTACAGGGAGCTGAATAAATTCCTTCTACTGCCTCAGCAGAGGGATTTCGAGGATATAATCCTTCCTTTTCCCTGCCATTGGAAAACACATGAAACCCTGGTGGCAGTGCACAACTCAAGTACTGTTAGCACTCCAGGACTGTGGAAATGGAGCAGAGGCTGGAGTCAGGACAGAGGAACAAAGAGGTGATGTGGCTTGGGGTGGCCTTTGTGCACCAGCACAGGGTCAGCCAGAATTTCAGTCTACCAGTGGGAATAGTCAGTACTTCCTTCAGTTATATAAAATATTGGCATATAAGCCCAGGCACGCATGGGGAAAAATATGTGGATTCGAAACAATACTTGCAGTGTCTGTGAGTGCTTTACCCAGGAAGAACTTTGTTTTATAGCAGTACCATGTGTGCCTCGTACTGCTGCTTAGTGCTGAGCCTCTTTCAGCACATTTGAGCTCTTTTATACCAATCCTTCATGACTTCTTTGCCTTCTGAACCAGTAGGAATTATCTCCAAATCATAAGCTCATGACAGAGGTATCATTCATGAAAATCTGTGCTTTTTTCCAGAAGCCCTCAGGAATACAGGCCAGATTGGTTTAAAATGTGTGTGGATGATGGATAGAAAAATGTAAACCTAAGCTTAGGGAATGGCATCACCTTCATTCATAGTGCAAGCTGTGTGCTCGTGTTTAGCTTCCCTGCTTATTTTAGGCTCATACTTACGTGTTTGAGTTGTGTTGAATGGTGAGACAAACTAAAAATAGTTATGGATTCCCCCAAGTGACTTTTGCAGTCACTTGTGACTCAGAGACTGGAACAGGCTGTCTGAAGAGCCAATGAGTTCTGCTCAGTGGTAGGAAGCGGGGAAGGCTTTTGAAGTGGATAGAAATCACCTAGAAGTTTTTGAGACCTGTAGAAACTGAGCTTCAGTTCATTGATGCTCAGAGTTTGTCAAAGGGAGGAGCTTCTTAAACTGTAGATGGCCAGGAAACAGTTTGTGCAGTGCCATGAGTGTTGAAAGTATCTGCAGCACTATTAGATGTACCAGAAAAATTGGGGTTTATTAGCCGTAGAAGAACTCTCTGTTTCTGCTTGGCTTAGGACTTTGCAGAGCAGTCATTTTTTCTGTTGCATAGCTCCAAAATTACACAGATCTTACACCACTAGGAGCCCCATGTGGCAGTTGCTTTTCCTCGCTGGCCAGTTTCTACAATGATCTGGACATTAACCAAATTATCATTGATTCTTCAAGCTTTAATTCACCATAGAGGCAGTGGGAGCAGCAGCTTTAGTCATTGCCAGTTTTTACTGACAGGCCTACAAACCACAGTTGCCAGATGACTCAGACTTTGGCATTCTTATTTTTGCTCATGGTTTTTATATGGAAATTTGAAAAAGTTAAGGCCACAGAGATCATGATTTTCAGTAGTGTGCAAATGCTGTAGCACCACACCTAAACTAAAAGTGGGCTTTAGTCCATCTTCTTCCTCCTCTTTTTTTTCTTTTTTTCTTTTTTTTGGGGGGTTGTTTTGTTTTGTTTTATATGCTTTTAATTTATTATTGTTAAGGGACACCTATTCTGGGGAAAAAGAAAAAAAAAAAACAAGGACCAGTTCATGCTGGCATGTTGGTTCTCACGTTAGTGGGGTCTTGCCTTGACACACACAAGCTGCTGGGATGTGTCCTTGGGGCTTGTGACCTTTCAGAGGAGCACTGGGTGTTAGATAATGTGCCTTGCTGCCCGAATGCTCCGTTTCTGAGATCATAAGGGGAGGTGCAGCACCAGCCTGGAGTCCTCCCACCTCTTTTGGGAGAGAGGAGAGCTGTAAAACTGAGGCACGAGGTGGGGAGAAGAGTCAAGTGCAGACTGGTTTAGCTGACTCTCAATAGTAGCCACAGTATCCGACTTCAGTAAGGAGCTTTTCTGTCTTTGCAGAAGCAGTCTGAGCTCTAGGAAAGGATTTGAGCAGCTGGCATAAAGTAAAACTGAGTAGCTGTGATTATAAATAAAGTAAAATGGTCCTTCCTAGAGCATGCTCACCTGGGATGTGGGCTGGGAAACAGCATTGTGTAAAGACATAACGTGAATTCTCTAAGGTTTTAGGGCAGCCACTTGGAGGAGACATGAGAATACTCTCTGGCTGAAAGATTTTTGAGCTTCTGGGAAGTACAGCAAGATCTGTATATTATTTAGCTAGAGGCAGTTGAAAGAACTAGTTCCAGTTTTGAAAACAGCCGAGCTGCTGCTGCAGAGAGTTGTGCAGAATTCCCTGCTTGTGCATCTCGATGGCCTTTGGGAAGTGCCAGGAACATGGGAAGATTTGTCACAAGACCGTCTGCAGATGGTTGTGTGAAAATAGAGTCCTCAAGTTGCACAGTAACTGAACAGTCTCTTTTAACCTGTTTGACCGCTCTGTTCTTTGTGCTGTTCATCTGCCACCCTAAAATGAGGCTCAGAGCACAAGTGGTGCTACCCCACGTAGGGTGATGTGCAGAGGCGCACCGTAGCTTTGTTAACTTGCTGTGGTGCTAAAAGCTCCGTTTTACTGGAGAGACTGGCTGTCACTGGGACAGAGGATGCTCCCAGCTCCTCACACATCCCTTGACATACATGTAAGCTTCACATGCAGCAGGTTACACATTGCAGTTTGATGCTGAACTAGTGCTGCTTTTGATTTGTTGTTGAGATATTTCAGGAGGTGCCAGAGAAAGGGGCAGAGAAGATGGCTGGGATGATGCCTTGCCAGCCCTCCCCGTGCCAGGAGGGGACCCTCTGATGAGGGATAGCCCGCTCTCCTGTTAGCAGGCACACCGTGAAGCTACACAGAGTAACTTTGTGCTTCAGAAACATCCTTGACTCACAGGTGTCAGTACGATTAAGTGCACACTGGAGAAATTTTGGGAAGGCTGGAGGAAGCCATTAGTGCCTGTGCATTCGGCATGCATCCCCACTGCAGAGCGACCGGGTTATCGGACAAAGGGAAAGCGACCTGTGCCGTCGGGTGAACCAGCTTATCTTCAGCTGCAAGCTAAGCAGCAGTGAGCGTTTGGGTCAGAGGTTTGTATGCTGTCAGGAAGGAAAGTTAGATTAGGGGAGGTCTGTTCACTGCGTACGGAGGATTCACACTTCAGCACATTTGAAATGTTTGCTGCACTGCCTATTTATATCGGCGTTTGCTGTAAAAGTGTTACCAAGTGCAGCTGTTGTGCACTTCCATTTTATACCTAATTGATGGGATTAGATATATTTTTTTAATGTCTGCATCTCAGAAAGACATTTAAGCTTTTTTTACCATGCAAAATGGAAGAAAATTGCCAAAGTCAATAATGTAACTAGTACCTTGTAAGCTTCTGACAATTAGTATTATTATTAATAAAAAGCATAATAAGTATATTCTTGATCGGGGGGGAAAGGAATATTGACCTCAGAAATTATTGCAAGATTAATTTAAATATTTGCATGGGAAAGAGACACTTATTTGGAATAACACCAACATCACTAACTTCAGCTTCAGTTTTCTTACCTGTGTTACCTTCTTCAGTACCTGGACAGCAGAATCTGTGATTATGATTTGGCAGCTTTGAGCAAATGGTGAGAAACATTAAACAGAAGTTGTCAAGAAGTTGAAAATTTTTAATAGGAAATAATATTATAGAAATCACAGTTATACTTTTTGTTTTCTCCAAGAGTGTAATTAGAGAGGTATTTGAGATAATTTATACAGCTTTTGAGAAAGTGAACAAGCATGTTTTTATGAGGAAAAATGTAGGGAATAGGTGCCAATGATGAGTTACTACCTTGGAAATATACTCCCTCGTTCCTATGACACTCTTCTGTTTCTTTATCCTTTTAAAGTTGACACAGGGGAAAATAGTAATGTCACCTGTTTTTCTCATGCCTGTGTACAGAGCCATTGCAATGCATGGACGCTGTTTGAGTTCAGCTAAGAGCTCCAGTGAATCTTCAGTGTATCAGCATGAGCTTGACCCAAGACGACTGATAAAGAACATTGTGCTTAGAAGCGAGCGTCATACAGTATCACTAACCGGAGTATTCTTTACCTGACTATTCCAGTGTGGCAAAGCACTTCCTGGCCTTTCCAAGCAAGAAGACTGCTGTGGAACCGTGGGTACTTCCTGGGGTTTTAACAAATGCCAGAAATGTCCCAAGAAGCCGTGTAAGTGCTATTTTGTTGATATTCTCTGGATCAGTTTATGGCTTTTTTTTTTTTTTTTCCCCTCAAGTAGTATTAAAAAAAAAAACAAAAAAAACAAAAAAAAAACCCAACAAAAAAAGAACCTAGTAGAAAGATTATGTTGTGGTTTGATTAGGGACAGGTTGCAGAAACGGGAGTTCTCCTGCATGCCAGCAGAGTTACAATACACAGGCACTCAGCGCAGCCAGCAAAGTTAACGTTGTTGGGTTTTTTTCCCCTTCATCCTCCTTGAAGTCAGTGATGCAGTGTTGCGTTTCCTCAGTGTAGGAAGGATAGTGACATTGAATTATCTTGCCTCTTCCAGCTGGATTTATTTTTTAAAACTTTGCACAGAAACGTTGAGTTATAGAGGCGCCAGTTACTGCTTGGAGAGAATGCAGTGACCTCTTGGGACTGCAGATGAACTTTCAAGTTTGGAGCCAAAGCTTTCCAGGCTCTAAATTGTCAGTTACATTTGTTTGCTGGTTTTGAAATATCTTCCTCCACGATTAAGCAGTAACAAAGACTTTCTTCACTGTTTTGTTATTATTTGACATTGTATTAAAACAAGGACAAAATTTCAAAGTATTTGCACGATAGGTGAAGCTAGACTCCCAGACTTTTAGTGAATGACAGTATTGTTTCACAGGAATAGTCATACTTCTGTGTCATGTCATATTTTTGTCACTAAATGAAAGATGAGAGAAGATAATGTAATCTCTGTTTTGCAGGTGGAGTGGACCTGCATTTAGTGGGCCAAAAATAGGGCAGGGCTTTGCAGTCATTCTTACCCAGGTCTTCCAAACCCCTGTTATTCGTACAGGTGGCAACACTGGAAACATGTCAGTTTGATTTTTTTGAAGTGTATTTTTGTTCTCAAATCTTAATGTGGATGGAAATATAATTCCAGCAGAAAACCTGCTCTTACTACTACTTCTCTGACTCCTCTTCCCACAGGGGGCTCTGATATAAATTTATGCTGACTCAGTCTGATCTGCTGGTTTAGGAAGTATATAATTTTGTCTTTTGGAGTATGTTTATCTTCTGATGTGCTTCCGAAAGCGAGCCTCGTTGAGGTCTTTGAGGGCCCTAGTTAATAAAAGATTCATGTATCTACACTTCCACCCCTGTAGCACGTAAATACAATTTCTAACAGAGACGTGCCTTCTGTATTGGTGTGTGGATTGTGAAATGTGTCCTGATGTTATAGCTTTCCCCAAAGAAGTAGCAATTTGACTACAACAGAAAGTCTTGTTCATCAGAAGCTTGTGAGTGTGCGGAATGTTGCTTAGTGGGCGTAGGTGTGCCATGAGAAAAATCATGAAAGCCTGAAATGTGCTCCAGCCAAAAACTGGTTGGAACTACTAATAAAAAATTTTGGTGCCTGGTTTGAAGGGAAGCCCATTTGCTATTTCTTCATAGCTCAGGTAAAACACCGCTCGTCTCAGCCTGGAATCCACAAGGGACAACGTGTTGATCAGGCAGCTGCTTCGTGCCAACATGCTCGGCATGATGTTGAGAGCAGGCAAACAGGGAAACATTGGGACAAACCATGTCTGAAATCCTGGTCCCCAGATGCCTCCTAGCTGGGTGCAGAGAAGTGCCTGAACGTACCCTAAAACCTCTCCTGAAGGGAAGTCCACCACTCTTTTTTCAAAACTCTGTGTAAGACATTATTTTTTGAAATGCTAATGAGATGATCGCTGTCCTTTTTATAATAAAAGCTTAATGGCTAGTACACTTCTCAAGATGGGGCAATCCAGTTTTCCTTTATAGGCCAGGAGAATTTCTAATCTACATTGTATACCTATGAGGAGATGCCCTAACCTGTAAAATGTAGAAACAATTCTTGGAACAGGACTGGGAACCCAGTCTCTGTAATTACATATGGTATGAGTCATGCTCACTGCTGCTTTCTGGCTCAATCTGAAGGTGTTTTTTGGAATGTAACTGTATGATTTCAAGGGGAGACAGAGAATGTTGCCACTTGGAATAATCCTGTCCTTGTGATTAAAGCATTCCTGGAAAGTAAGGGTTTGTATCTCCTAAACAAAATGGGACACATTTCTCATCTTTCTAGGTGGGAGCTGTCACTGTACATTAGTGTTTTAAGAAGGGAGGAGGAGATGGGTGCACTGTCTGTTTTCTTGAGTTTAAAATACAGTGTCATCTACCACTACATTATATCAAGAGCATGATTTGGTAGGTGCATGCTTCAAGAATATCCACTGAATCTGTCAGGAAGCTTTGGTAGAGGTATATCAATTTTCTTTGTCTAGATTTGATTTAGGAATGGGTTAAGCACGATGCTATTCAATCGTGCCGGGAGTTACGGCTGCATGGGTGTAAATGGTGAATTTTCAGATTTCTGAGAACTTAAGGTGATAAATTTGGAGTGTTGCAGGAGTTTAACTGATCTTACAGCATCTTGGAATTTTATAGAAGTTCAGTTTGAACTTGGGCACACAGCTTTCAAATCTGTTTTGAATCTGGGCACAGGTGTCAAATTAAGCCTCATGTCAGGATCAAAGTGTTACCCTTCTGTAGAGCAAACAATTTCCAGAGATAAATGTGAATTTATTATAAGATTTAAAGAAAGTGTGGAGTGGTTGCTTAAGGATTTCTATTTCATCAAGTATTTTTTTTACAATAATGAGAATGTTTCAGTGGTAAAAAGAGTAAGCATATAAATATATATATATACAAATATACATATATATGCCTATGATATTGGATGGAAAAACTTGGAAGTCAAGTAAATTATTAGTAAGTTATCAGTTAAGTGATGTCCATGGTAGTGTCTCATCAGGCAAAGTTAGTCCCACGTCAGTCCCGTGTAATTTTGACCTGTTCTGATTCTTCACTAAGTTGGTATTAACCTTCTTATCGTAGACTTTTTGGAAGCAAACAGACTTCCTTTGGCTTTTTTGGTTTTACGCTTCATAAACTTAATTTAAGATTGATCTGGTTTTATAATAATATGTAATCAGGTTGCGTTTAACATGATCTCCCACGAAACTCACTTCAGCAAAATATTTAAGCATACACTTCAGTCTCATTAGCAGGCACTGTCCTTCTCTCTTGAGTCGGCTACTTAAGGATGTGCATAAGTTTGCGCGTGTCTTGTTCCCATGGGCTTTGTCACTTTGTAAAGGTCCTTGCCTATTTTGGGTAATAGCCACTGCTCAGAGCTTCTGTCTTGTTGCAAAGTCAACTGCCTTGGACTGAGGCAGCTCCCATGGCTGTAAGTTCACAGGTTATTCAGTATCACTGAAAAACAACAGAAGAAATTACGGAACGAATCTCTGTTTTCGAGGGCTTCTCCAGAAGATGACCTTTAAGATCAAGTGCATTTCTGTGTTACATGGGCAATGTTATGATTGTTCAGGCTTCTTGCTAACAGTTAATAATTACAAACAGATTGTCTAAATGAGTAAAGGCTCAGTAATGCAGGACCCTGGAAAAGGGCTGGCGTAGTGTATGGGCTGGTGTTCTTTCTCTGTTTTACTCCGCCAGGTGCAGGGTACCCTTCCTGCCCACAGTCAGAGACACTGTCGTGGGTTTAGTGTGAATTGAATCAGATCTGTAACAGCAAACACAGACACGATAGGACATGAGTGCAGTTATCAATCTGACTCTGCCAACGTGAACATTAGGAGTTTCATTGGCAGTTTTGGGGACCAGGAGTAGGCTAATGCATTGTGCTTTTACTCATCTCACCTTCAACTTTAGCTGGTTTTAATAGGAACATTGCGAAAAGATTGGAGCTGCCTTGAAAATAAACGTGTAGCTGCCACTTTATGGTGAGAGGTGAAATCGTCAAATTTTAATTTGTGTTACAATGATTGTAGTCCATGTAGAAGGTGGAAAGTATGTGTTCAAAAATTTAAGAACATTGTTGCTGTATATTGAACCATACTATTTTAGTGTTTTACCATTTTGTCACTTTAGGTAATCTCTAAGGAGAATCCTAATGTTTTCATTAAGCAATTATTTTAAATAATTCTCAGAAACTGGAAATAAAACGATCTCACTCCAAAAACTGCTACTCAAGATCATCACTTAAATTTTTCCAAAGAAAAGGAAAAGTTTTAGAACTAATGAAAATAATTATCTTTATTTTTTTCCGCCCTTACAGTCAACCAGTTTTCAGTTTTTAACTAAGCTGCAGGGATAGATGTGCAATGCAGGCATTATATGTGAAGTGAAGCCAATTGAAAACATTATCTCACTCCGTTGTTCTGTCTTATTTGACAGTTTATATACAGTAAAGATGA